AGATGATTAAAGAGCTGGAGCACATGAAGTACAGAGACACTGATTTAAAAGAGTTTGTTCACTTGAGAAAGAAGGCTAAGGGGAGATCTTATGCCTGTTTTCAGCTACTTGTATGGAGAGTGGGAATAAAATAGGTGTGCGAAGTGTAAGAAGCAACAGACAAAGTTGTAAGAAAAGAAATTCCATTTAGAAATGGTCTTTACCATCTTTCAGAGATGAAGAAAGGATTGCACATGGTCAACATCAGTGTTCAGTGCTTCCCCAAAATAGGCATATTCAAAGGCTTGGGCTCTGATTCAAATCCTATGTCAGAAGGAGTGTTTAGACTTTTAGGAGACCTTGCTTAGGTCCTTGGTGAGTTACACATGTGCTCTATTACTTCTGTGTGGTGCGGAGAAGATGCGAGCTCACTGAGTTTTTCACCTCTTCAGTTTCCTTACTCATTAGATTTTCCCAGAGGAGAAGGCAATGTACAAACAACCCCCCTCCCCATGTGTTTAAGATTTGAGATTCATTTATGTCAACATTGTCTTGCTAAATATTTCTCACAGCGAGTTATCATAGACTGTAATATAGAGATGTATGTATGAACCTCACATTACAGCTTAAAGGGAGAAAAATGGTGATACAGTAGTATCATATGCTGAGCACTTAGAAGTTGACAAATAGCAGTGGCAAGAGTAGTGAAGTGTTTTAAAACAGGCAACGCTGCCTGGATAATGAAACCATCCATGTGGGCAGGAATCCTGTGTGACCACATAGAGGTTCAGCTTCTTAGCCATCATGTTTCCCATGCTTGGGAGAAAGTGAGTAATTTGATGCGTGGACCACAGATCTGGAAAGTCTTGTTTCTGAAGTCTTTGCCCTTTGGTAGGAATGTAGCTGCTATTACTGAAGTATCATTGCCTCTCTCTGCAGAATCTCTCAAACTAAATGCTGTATATTTTCCTTTTCAAAAAGAAGGTGCTGTTTTGCATGACTCCCTGCACTAAAATCAGCAAGCCTTTTCTTCTGCCAAAAAATTGGTTAAATATGGATGTAATAGGAACAAAGGGAGGAAACAATCAAGGATGTAGAGGCTATAGTCCTTATTTTCCCATGACGCCTGGTATGACATGGAATGAGTCACTCAGCTTCTCTGTCTCTCAATTTCCCATCTGTAAAATGGGGTTAAAATACCTACCTCACAGGGGTGTTGTGAGGCTTCTTAAAATAATGTTTGTAAAGTGCTTTGAGATCCTTGGATGAAAGGTGCGACAAGAAATCAAATTATTCACTTTTTTTAGTGCAATATGAGTGCACTTCTGTTGAGATGGTTAAAGACTTCCAGCTCTTTACAGCTATTCTACACTACTCTTCATTATAATTTCCTTCATTTGTTATATCTGCTGGGAGTTAAAAAGAACAAATTTTGGAATCAAGAATACCTAAATTGTTATGGTATTGTGTGGATGAGGACTAAAATAATCTGATATTCTTTTTAAACTGTATTGTGTATTCCTTATTTGTGCAACCCTGAAGTGAACAGAAAAAGGGTATATTATAACTTTGTGTGCTTTTCACCTAAACCAGCTAACTTGTGTCTTTGTGAGACAAACTCGGCGTCTTCAACAATAAAAAACTTCGGTTTGCATCACTGGTTCCGAAACTTATGCAAGGGGTAGAGTAAGTGTTTTAGTTCTATGTGTTTTGTAGCCATTTAACAGACAGCGATTAAACATCACAGTGTAAAGGTAGTTACTGAGTTCAAGGTTAAATTTTAGGAATCATAGAAGTGTGAAATGAAAGTGAGATTAGGCTTTACAGAGCTGAATAAAGGAAAAGGCATATAGGTTCACGTAGAGCTGCTATTCTAATGTACTTCCCAGAAGACTCTTAACTAATACACAAACTGATTCAGTATTTAAAATTTTGTTTTAAGAAAAAAGTGATACAGATGCCTCACCAGAGCAAGCTCAGAATCCAGCTGTTAGATGACATGGCATATATAACTATCTGTTTCATTAAAATTAACTGCTGCATGAAGATAAGAAATATGAGCAAAACAGTTGTTAAAGAAAGTAGATGAAACAAAAAGCCAAAAATTAAAATAGGAGAAATTAATCTCAATTTAAATATTTTGCTTTCCCACCTCTCTCATCTGGAATTAATGTTACACACTTTCTTCTCCTCCACCACCTTGTTTCTTCTTTTTATGAGTGAATGGAGAGGAGAACAGAAAATGACATAACCAAACAAACAGAATCGAAACTACTATAGCTGCAGCTTTCACCCAGGTGCCCCACTCAAAAGGAATTTGCATGTCTTCTGTCATACAGTACCCAATACATATTTTGACTTTTCATTTGTAGAGGCAAAGTATAACATATTCCTCCCATTGGTGATAATTTACATGACTCACATTCACATAAAAACAAACACAAACTCCCTTTTGAAAAAACAATCCCTGAAACTTTTCATGTTTCAAAAGTTGGCCTAGAATAGTCACTACATACCAGAACAGTTTTCAGGATGGCTTGAGGAAATACGTGCTTTTTTCTACTCTGTATTTCATGTTAGAGCTAGATTTGGACTGATTTCACCAGTGTTTGTAGATATCTCATCCTAAAATTGAAGTCACTGGCAATTTTTGAGCTGTAGCTTACTGCTTCTTCAATTACTTTGATGTTCCTTTTGCTACATTTGACTGCTCATCAGGTGTAGTTAGAAGAAGCACCCCATAAAAGCAGCAGTTTCTACTGAACAATCTTCCTGGCATCAGGTTTTATCCTTAATACTTAAATTAATGTGGGATTTGTTTGTGCACTTCCCTTTAGAAAATTATTATTAGTTTATTAAAACTTTTGCTTTTCGCATAGCACAAACTAATTATCCAATAATCCTTCATTGTGTTCTTCTATGCAGTCATTCAAGATTGACATTTTTCAAATAGGAAGTGTAAGTCACAATCCTTACTTGTACACTGAAAATCTGATGCTTCGATATACTTAATTTTTGTGGCACTGGAACGTAAATATGACTTATGATGATGTTGAGAAACACAGCAACTAAAATAAAGTGGCCTTTTATGATAAATAGATAGCCCACTATTGACTTGGAGTATCTTGTCATATAAAAATACCATACAATCTTCCCTATTAATTATCTTTTCTCTGTCTTCAAGTAGATAATATATATGGTATAATATTTTACCATTAGAGCATTTATTTTCTCTAGACATAGCCTAGTCATCAACCAGTTCTGCTGCTTAACTACAGCCTACTATCATCCCAGGATCCCTAACCACTGTGTAGAAGGAATACTATCTTGTGGCTGAAATACTAATTATTGTGCTGTTGAGCTTTGTATTTAAAACTCTAATTTATTATCTTGTACACTGACAAAAATTATTTTGTATCAAAAATTGTTTCCCATTATCAAAATGTTAGTGTACAAGCCACCTACAAAATGAAATTTCCCACTTTGATTTGTTTAATCCAAAACATAGAAGTCACACTTTAGAAAATGCTACGTGTTTAGGTGTGCCAGTGTTGAAAATACATCTAAGCTGAAAAGATGCTATCAGAAGTTGATGGACTAGCTCTTGAGCAGGTGTTAATTGTCCTAGCTCTACTGGTTTCTTTCAGTTTGCACCAGCTGAAAAATTGGCCTAGCATGTCAATGTAATGACAGATTTAGGAACTTTCTTTTCCAGTTGTGATGCAAAATGTTAAAATATTGCCTTGGTAGCCAATTATCAAAATAATAACTTACGTGACATTCATTAGTAAGTAATGATTAATGTATATGTGTTTTAAGAACGGGTCTTAGAATGACAACTTCTGAGTGAAATGAAATACCAGAAAATGCTCTCTGGATGATATTCATCTGACTGAATATGGATATCTTTAAGGTAGGCATCTAGTCTGAGTCCCTTTGTCGTCATTGAAGAGAAGAAGGCACTTCTAGTGGTTACTAGTTTTATTCTCAAGAAGACATCTTAACCAGATGAGGTGTCCTTGAAGTGTGTCCTTCTCTTCCTGACAAAGGATGGGAACACTGAAAAGCTCACTCAGATATAGATGCCTGCCTTGCTCATGTCTATGAAGTTAGATGAGATGAATCTTACCCTCAGGGCCTCACACTGGCTCCATCTTATTAAACTCTCCCTCTGTTATTCAACAGTTACTAAAACAAAGCTGAGTAAAATGTGGTTACTCTGTACAATTTTGTTACAGTGCACAGGAGGGTAGATAGCAGCCCTATCATACACATATGACCATATAATTTGGGCCAGCATATTTACTTAAAATCGTGTTGTGCATATAATTGCTTCTATCTCCCTTTCATGTAACAGCTCTTTTAAAATTCTTATTTCTCCACAGTTAAACTGAGACATTTTTATATCTACTGATGGATCCACTAAGGAAAATGCCATTTTAATCTTTGTGTGTAGTTACTGGTGATCTAGTGTTACTGGTGTGTATGGTGTTAAAAAAGTGACATTTTCTTGCTTGTTGTATATTCTTTTGGTGAATGGCGTTCATCAGTAAGAGAATAAATCCAGTAGTACTCACTCCTTTGCCACCTACCATATATACAGGAAATACAGGAGTGAGAAAAGTTGGACACGTAGGCAATTATGTCATAAGAATAATATGATTGCAATAAACCTCATAAAACTAAATATAGAAGTGAAAGGAGAAACATAAGTATTTATGCCATAATATTTAGCAGTAGTAGTAATTAGCATTTTGATTGCCTTTTTTTCATCAGTTCTGTGAAAGAAATTCATGTGAATAGCAAATAAATGAAAATAGCCTTGTGGAAAATAGAGAAATTCAGTTCACGTGGGCCAGCCATAGTGTTATAGAATTGCTGTGTGATTAACAATATTTGACATGCAGTTTGTTTTCTGTCCGTGCAATTGCAACAACAGTTCCAATTGTAGCCACTTTTTTCTTTTCTTTTCCTTTTTCTTTCTTTCTTTGTTTCTTTCTTTGTTTCTGTTTTTTATGCAGAAGACCATCAAATGAATTGTCACAATACTCGAATAATGCAAGACACAGAAAAAGACGATAACAATAATGATGAGTATGATAATTACGATGAACTGGTGGCCAAGTCACTGTTAAATCTTGGCAAAATTGCAGAGGATGCAGCATACAGAGCCAGGACAGAATCAGAAATGAACAGCAATACATCTAATAGTCTGGAAGATGATAGTGACAAAAATGAAAATATCGGTCGGAAAAGTGAGCTGAGTTTAGATTTAGACAGTGATGTTGTTAGGGAAACAGTGGACTCCCTTAAATTATTAGCACAAGGACATGGTGTAGTGCTTTCAGAAAACATTAATGACAGAAATTATTCAGACAATACTTCACAGCAAGATAATAGGAATATGAACTTTGTAATGCTAGGGAAGCCCGTGAACAATGGACTTACAGAAAAAATAGTAGAGGAGAGTGATGAAGAGGTGTGTCTCAGCAGTTTGGAGTGCTTAAGGAACCAGTGTTTTGATCTGGCTAGGAAACTCAGTGAGACAAACCCACAGGAAAGAAATCAACAGCAAAACATGAACACTCGTCAGCATGTCAGGCAAGAAGATGACTTCCAAGGAAGAACACCAGACCGGAATTACTCTGATATGATGAACCTAATGAGGCTTGAAGAACAGTTGAGCCCCAGATCTAGGACTTTTTCTAGCTGTGCCAAGGAGGATGGTTGTCATGAAAGAGACGATGATACCACCTCTATTACTTCAGATAGGTCTGAAGAAGTGTTTGATATGACAAAAGGTAACTTAACCCTGCTTGAGAAAGCAATTGCTTTGGAAACTGAGAGAGCAAAAGCCATGAGAGAAAAAATGGCAGTGGAAGCTGGAAGGAGGGATAATATGAGATCATTTGAGGAACAGTCTCCAAGACACCTTTCTGGAGATGACAGGAAGCCTAAACCCAGTGACGGCCATGTCAAAAAGCCATATTATGGTAAAGGTAATATTTCTATATACCGTATGTTATGTCATGAGAAAGTGTGAGCTAATATGTTCAGTTTTTGCATAGATTTCTGAAAAGAAGCTATTAATTCCATATAATGGGAACATTATTAAAATTGTAGTATGACATGATTGTAAAATAGCATCATGCTATGATTATAAGAGTTCGTTCTGCAGTGTTAGAAATATGTACAGTATATCATTGGCTAAATTGAAAAATAACTTTCAGGGAAACAAAACAAATAAGAGATCATGTTGAAAGAGGCAAAGATTTTTCTCAAGTTTTTAATATAATTTATTGTAATAATTTAAAAACAAGAGAATTGTGTTGCAAACTATATTGGAGAGGGGGGTTTTATGTAGCAGGTAGTCAATCAGCTATGAAGTGCATATATTACAGATTGGATTGGGTAGGTGGCATTGTGACTTATAAAATTATCATCAAATGACAGTTATTGATGAAGCCTCTCCCATCTAAAATGTAGAATTGCCTGATAGAAATTGAATAGTATCAAAATGACCGATAACATAAGATAGGGGCAGTGACTGCACATTAATTATCTTAAGATAGTAAGGTAATGGAAACCATTTGCTATGCAAGGCATAGTGTGGCCTGCGCTGAGATCAATAGCAATTTCTTTCTTATGTGCATTCCACTTCACTGGTTTCATTCCATTGTGGAAACAGTTAAGGTGCTGCCTTGACCATAATTCAATACAAAAGAAAAAAACCAAGAACAAACAAACAAAAAGAACAGACTAAAGGTTACCTTTAGAATGCCTTTCAATTTGCAGGATTATCATGGCGATGGTGTGTTTATATTAAGGCACCCCTCTTTAACGTGTCTACATCTGTACATGTAGGGCCATGTTGTATTAAGTGTTCAATACCTCCTGAGATTCATTGAACACCCCTGATTCCCATTGACTTTAGTGGAAGTTGAGGACATGGTATTTCTTGGGAGATGCTAAACAGGGAGTGGGTTCATCTTACGTTTGTTGTAAAAATATTTGTTTTCCTTTTTGCAATTGAGATGGTGGACATTTTTCTTCTTTTTATAAATCCCTGTTTTGTAAAAGTACTCTACCCGCGACATTCATGTAGGCAAACAACACCTTGGTCCAAGAAAGGTTTTGATCATTTTTTACAAGCCTGAAAGAAAAGTAATGATCAGTATTTTAGAAAAGCATGTAAATTACTGATGTCAAACACTCTGCTGTAATGTATTTTAGTGAAGTTTTGTTTGTTTTAAACAAAGATATATGGTCCAGTGTGTGCTGTAGTAACTTTGGGTATTTGGGGCAGACAGCTTTATTTAGTTAGTGTGTTACTGCATAGCCATGTGGACGTTGTGCTAAATGTTGTTCACAAATTACCTATTATAGGTGCATTTCCCTTTGAGTATATTTCTCTAATAAAACCACAGAAAACATGGCCAACCACCATTAATTTTTAAGAGCTTTTAAACTCTGGTATTGTCCAGCCTTTCCAGTCTATGTATGCCTGGGAAAACAATTGTACAAAAAGACCTGCTGTCTCCAAAAAGTCTATGTAACTTCTGACAGAAAAAAAAAAAAAGCATATTAGCTTCCTATTTCAGTAAATTCTAGAGCTTCTTGGAACCATCTTATTTCTTGGGAACTGCAGGCTTGAACTGGTAGTAGGTCCAAACCTCAACCAGGAGCTAAATACTGTGGGAATTTGGACCAAGAAACTTTGTGGAGTGGTTCATTCTTCACCTTTTTAATAAAGGAAGAAAGAAAAAAAATTCCCTTATTTAAAATAAAACATAGGAAACATTGTGGTAGCTGTTGAGAGAAGAACAAGTAAAACAGTTGCTTACATCATTTGTTTTCCCCTCACACTTTATCTTCCAAATACTCCTGGAAGACACTCTTACAGAGATGTATGATATGGTTAAGTGGAAACTTTTGAGGTAAACAGGTTTGCAGTGAGAACTACCTCTTGGCTTCAGGAGTTCTGCTTCAAATATCATTGAAACAACTATTAAGGGTCCACTAACCACTCTTGCGCTGCCATTTAAAGCTTTCTAGACAGGGTATCTTCTAAAATGTAGGAATTTTAAAACCTTTTAAAGTCCTCTGATGACCTTCACTCAAGCAATACTTCCATTGTGGCAAGGAGTGAGGAAAGGTTACAAAGTTAAATAAAACCACAGTATTTCTCCCAAATATCAGAAGAGGATTTGCAAAACAGTATCCAGTGTTATGTATAAAATTGTGGAAAGTTTACTCCAATGCCTTCCATTAAAAGCAATGGGAAATTGTGCAAGTGCAATTTTATGCAAGTTTTGAAATCATTAAGAGTAGTATACAGCATCTTTTCTGACTCACTAGACCATAAAGGCTCTAAAGGATCTCGTATGTGCTATAACTTTATAGCATAGACTTGAATACAGAAGAGGATTTGCTCAACACTGTAGGATGTAAGTGTCCAGATCCTCAGCTGCTCTAAATTACAATACCTTCATTGACTTTGGTGGACTTCGGACAATGTGGAGTAGCTAAAGTTTCTCTAGTTTAATGTCTCTAAAAAGCCATTATGGTCTATTAATCATCTACATTTTTTGCAGTCCTTGAATATTGTTATATTTACATAATTTATATTTCATTTACATTACCTATTCACTTATCTAATGCTTTTACACATCCCAAAGTACTTGACTTAAAGAGTTGCTTAGAGTTGTGTATGTATGTAACTGTGGGCTTGCTGTTCTAGTGGTCTCAGCACAGGCCTATCTGGCAGGAATTCAAATCCCTCCTCTGACATTCGCTCCTTCTGTGGCCTTGGGTTTAACTTCTTGATCTCTGTGCTTCAATTTCCTGACATATAAGATTATGGTCTTTCCAGGAGTGTTGTGATAATTGTATAGCACTTTGGAGATAGATTTGTATGTGTATTTATCATTAAAGAGCCTGAAATGAAGAACTGTGGTCTACAGTCAACATGCAAGTTAAGTAAAATAAAACTTTAATAATTAGGGATTCCATTTGCAAAAGAAAAGGTTTTAAGTATCATATTAAAATTTAATAATGGATTTCAGACACAGAGATTAATTACAATGAGCTAAAGAATTTATCTAAAATGAAGGTGTTTTGGAAGAGCTTGGAAAGTAAAAGTATATATATAAAAAACATATCAGAGGGAAATCAAGGAAAGATAAGTCCACAACTGAATGTGAACTCTGGATTGTATTGATTCATGCTGAAAAGAATGGGTTGTACATGAAGTTCTGCAAGTACTGAAATTTCCATTGATTGTACTGAGGGTTCTGTTTGTTGAAGCTGGGATGGAATTTAATGTAAGAAAGGCTTACTGGAAAATGAGTAGCAAAATCTTATTTTCTGGAGATGAAAGCATAAAATAATTAAATGAGGGTAACTCAGATTGGGTATTGAAAGGAGGATGGGCTAAAAAAATGGAAGGTGGATGCTGAATGATCTTGAGCCAAAACAGTAGCAGTTTGAGTATCCTGAATTTTATTCCTTTATTGCCAATACAAAAATCAGCAATACTCTCCAAAAGCTAGCAACTGTGGTCAAGATGATATGATTTAATTTGTATCATGTGCTTGGCTGGTAGGGTAGGGATGTTATTTTACAGATGTTCTGTTAAAGGAAATAATCTGATGAAGTTATGTTAGACAGTTCTAGTTCAGGATTAATCTCACCAGTCTTCCACTACATTATTGGCAGAGAAATTTATTTTATTGAAAAAATGTCTAGTTGGACTTTGCATTGATTTGTAGTCAGAAGATCCAACAACATTCTTAAAGATCATTAACCTTTTAAGCATACAAATATTCAAATGTTACATATACATGTTTGTAATGTCCCAGATTTACAGAGCAAGTGTTACTTTCAGTATTTCTGATTACAATGTTTACCCAACCATAATTCATTGAAGGGAAAGGAATATTTGCATAATTTTGCCACTTCATAAAGAATTTAAAGAAAATAAGAGTAATTTCCTCATTGAGCCTTGGAAAAGGGATTTATTTGTGCTGAATCGTGGAATTGTTATGCTGAAGAGCTGGGTTTGCTACTCTCAGGACATTGAACTGCTATGACAGTGCATTTGCAGACCTTAATACATCAGGCAAATAAGAATGTAAAGAAGGGAAACTTGAACTAAACAGTTTCCAAATGACCTTACACCCTTGAGCTGATGCTTGCCAGAAGAACATTGATTGACCATGGTGTGGCTTTGCTATAAAAAGGTCACTTTCCAATCACTGTGAATAGATAATGCTGTGATCATAGGAGCCCACAGTCTGAAAAGAAGATAATGGGATAAAAGTGACAGCACTGTGTTAAGAAGTAGAAGGGTTGTTTTTTTCTTCTAGTGTTCATAATAACACCGAAGAGTAAATTACGTGATTAAATGAACCTTCTTACAGAAATGTGAAAAGCATCATTCACTTGACACATTTGTTGTAAATTATAGATCCCTCAAGAACAGAAAAGAAAGAGAGCAAATGTCCTACCCCTGGGTGTGATGGAACTGGCCATGTAACGGGGCTTTACCCCCATCACCGCAGTTTGTCAGGATGCCCACACAAAGATAGGGTCCCTCCAGAAAGTAAGTTCACATTCTTTCATGGAAACCGGGGATAAAACTACAAAACTTTTTCTAGCATGCTTTTTAAACCTTTTATTTAAAAAACTAATTTCATTTTTCAGTATGGTTTGTCTCAACTTAGTCAACTGTTCTGTGTTATACTTTTTCCTTTCTATCATCATTTTCATTCTCTACTAACTTTTACACTAAAAGAACAACTTTTAAAGCTGTATTCTTTGATTTTAAGAATCCTAGGTTATTTTTAAATAGACATACTCTGTCAACAGAGAAAAAGGTTTCCAGAAGATGTGCACTGCTTTTGCTTCTGCGTGCTGATGTCACATCAACTGTCCTTATTGTCTTGTACAGGAATAATTGTTCCTGAATATCTTGCAACCCCTTTCCTTTGTTATTGTTGTGTCTGAAACATAATTTAAATTAAACACATGCATATTATAAAAAATAATAATTTGGCATTTGCTTAGTTACAGAACTCGGGATTTTGAGCAAACATCCCCTGGCAGTCACATGGATGGAACTTCCTGCCATGTCAGCAAATTCTCTGCATAGGAGGTTCACCCATATGAGCTCATGCACATTGACCTGAAGGCAGAGGCCTTCATTTCTGGAAGTCACCTACTTGGCTGGTGGAATCAGTGTAGTTCTGTTGAAGTTAATTGCTCTATGCTGGTTTACACCAGGCAAGCATCTAGCTAAGTTCCATTTCTCTTTCACACCAGTTTTTAAATGGAGTTATTCCGTTGAAACGTATGGACCTAATAATGTCTATGTCACTGTCCATCAGCACTTCTAGGCCTAACCTGAATGGATTTGCAACAGCTGTAAGGAAATGTTATAAAGACAGTCAGTTTCCAAAGGAAAGTAGAGTTTGATGGACAGGGCAACATAGGTAGATTAGCACTGCAAGAGTGCCAGACAGGATAAGTATCCTCTTTCATAGTACAGTGGTTTCTTCCAGAAGTAAAGCAGCGAGGAAGTACTTTAGGAAACTTTGCTGTAGCTTGGTTGATCTCTGAATACAGTAGAACAAATAGAGTAACTTCCCTGCATTCCAAAACCCTATAATTTTCTGAAACAAAAATATTTATTTGGTTGCTCAAAGTTCTATCATTTTTACAAATGGTAAATAAAAAGCTCTTTAGAAGACTTTGTAAATCAAAGAAGAATATAGCTTTAAACTGTTTGCATGCTCTTGTACCTACTAAAATGAAAAAGGTGAGCTCATCTTTTTTTTTTTCCTGTGATGTTGGCCTTGTGAAGCATGTTTCAAGAACAGCTTTGAATACTAGGAATTTCGGAGTAAAGCTTTTGCATCTATACACATTTTAGCACACTGATGTTGGGGTGATGATGAAGATGGTTATCTTTTAATCAGTATACATGGTTTAATTCTCAAGTCTCTGAACAGCTTTTATTCAGTTCTTAACTCAGTCAAGGAATCTACTGATTTTATTAGGTCTTTTATTGAGTGAGAACTAAATACAGGCTTCTAGACTATCTGTGTGAGAAAACCAGAACTTTGCAAGGGCTGGATGGCCTTTTTCCATAGAGTGATGTACTGCCATCCAGCTCCAAGACATGGATTCATATATGTTTCATGTCATACAAAACTCTTCAGTGTTCCCGAAAAGTTCTTGATAATTTGGCACTTCATAGCATGAGCTTTGTGATTTAGAGGAGTACTGCTCTGAGCAGTCTTGGAGTAAGTTTTCCATCCAGCTTGCAATGGATGCAGATATAAATCAGTTACTTGCTTAAGCTTGTACCACTTGTTTCTTTTTTACACCTTTTTTTTTTCTGCCATCCCTCAGTTTTCTAAGTGCTTATTTTTTGGTTCTTAGTATTTTGAAAAAAAATTAAATCCATTGCAATTTTCACAGTTGGAGAGAATACAAGTGAAAATTAAAGGACCCATTCTGCTCACCATATAGATATGAATGATATATCTATGTGGAAGTGGGCAGAACTGGCCCCTAGTTCAATTGGGCTGCCTTGTAGTTAGGGTTAAATTCTCTTCAGGGTTGTACTAAGGTGTGTTTCAAATAATTCAGTGGACTACCAGTATAACTTGAGAGCAGATTTTCAGCTCTCAATTTTGATACTGTTTTTATAAAGCTATGTATTATGAATACATACATTTCCTGAAAGAATTTTTCTAGTCTATAATTTTGTATTGTACAGTTGCTAGTTCACCCTTTACTGTTGAGCTGATCTTTGCTCAGTGGTTCTGTATGAAGAAGATGTTGGGTGTCTTCTGCTTCACTGTTGCACCAGAGATGCATTCGTTTATAGGTTCTGTAACCTCCATAACTTTCACTGTTGCCCTGTGTTAATGAACATAGGGTCATAATACTTACTTCCCTTCATCAGGCTTTATTGGCTATGTGTGTCACGTGTATTTTGAGGAATGCTGGTTGTTAATGAATCCTGCTTTGTTTTAAAATGGTTTCATATATACTGGGATTTGATTTTTTTTTCTTGTTTTCATACTCTGCTGTTTTCTCTTACTCTCCTTGTCAAGTTCTTGCCATGCATGAAAATGTTCTTAAGTGTCCTACACCAGGCTGCACAGGCCGGGGCCACGTAAATAGCAACAGGAATTCTCACCGAAGGTAAGGATGCCGTCGCTGGACACCAATCTAGAGGGAACAGCTCCGAACTGCAGCCCTTCTAGCAGTCCATTGGCGGGGGGGAGTGAGTGTGTGTGTCGTTGTTTTGTTCTGGAGATTGACAGATGGTGCTTCGTGTGCTTTATCCATTTTAAAGAGTAACATTTATTCATGTATTTTCTGAGGAGGACGAATGTGCGTTTGCTGTAGTATGGATGAATTGATACACAGAAGACTTTTTAAGCATCCTTAGATTTTTGAGTGGATTTTTTTTCTTTTTGTTTTGATATTTGCTGAACAGCAGTGGTACAAAACAAATGGTATGACCCCTCATGGGTGTGTTGGAGGGAGAAGGAAGAGTCTGTCAACATCATCAGGACTAGGGCAGAGTTCTCCCACTTCACTCTCTTCAGGGATTATTTTGCAGTGCATGAAAAAATATGCTCTAATCCTAAAAATGCAGGGTTTTTTAATACATGAGAAACAGCATTTTAAGTACACAGACATTGAAAGTGTTAGCTTTCTTACTGCCATAATCTCAACCCCAAAGCCCTTATTCAGCTAAAACTGAATGAGAATTTTGCCTAAGAAACATTTTGAAAATGTCTCCATACATTTAAAAATGAGAAGCCAGAATTGATAGAAGTAAGTATTCTAGCCAAACAAAAGAAGATTAAGGGAAAAAAGGGACTTTACTATAGTTGCCTAATATTAGTAATAGATTCTTAGGTAAGGGATGCTATGGCCTATTAAATTCTGTCAAACAAATGAGGAAATGATGAAAATGTTACTATAATTTTCATACTTGTTATAATTTTCCCACAGAACAACAATTGAATCTTATTTATTTATTTACAATTTTAAAATTGTGAGTAAGAGGGTAGTAGGAACTATGCAAAGTTCCTGTTATCGAATTCCTTTTTACTGTTCAGTGTAGCATGAAGGCTTAAGGGACTACACAGCTACTGGACATTCAGTGTTACCAGGCTCTGGGTTACTAGACCCCCCACATATTAGCTACATGTCTCCTGGAAGACTCTTGTGGGTACCAGTCTGTCTGCAATAAGCTCTGGTACCTGCTTCTTCTCTGCAGTGATGCTGCCAGTAGATGCAGCAAAAACCTCTGAGAGGGCTTTATGGGAATTACTGCTGCTTGATGCAGCATTCACTTCTGACAGAATATCTGCTAGAATATTTGAGGTGTCTGAAAAAGAGCTTGTCAGTGGAGCAGAGCTGCCCTCTGGCATGGCTCCAAAACTGCGCAGAGCCCCCTCAACCATTCTGCAGAACTAGGGCAGTGAGGGAGGGATGGGGGGAGTGGTCTGCAGTCTGTGCTCACCTCTTTCTGCAGCTTTTGGGGCATTTTGCTCTACTTCACTTTTTTCCTTCTTTTTGTTTTTTTTCCCCCCTTATTTCCTGTAGACAGGGGAACATCTGGGAACGCACTGATTTGCCTTTCATTCAAATTTCTTTTCCTGTAGAGAGCACAGAGAGCTGCAGTCACATAAGCACGCAATAGACTATGACAAGGAAAGGACCCCCTCTATTGTCAGGTCACAGGGTTTTACAGCTTCACTAAGAGCACCATCTGCTGGCATCAATATATTTATTTTTCCTTGTTCTCAGTCTTTTCCAGAAGAATCAGGCTTATTTGTGCCACTTCAATAATAGTTCAGCATTTGCAAATTTAATTGAATTTCAAGTTAAGTTCTCTTCATGTTATATCATCTGCTATTAGAAAGTATACTTTAGTGACTGAAATTCATGAGCAAACATTAAGTATAAGATAGTTGAGATGTAGATTTAGAGATGCAAGGCCAAAATTTGAACTGATTTATATGCCTAGCAAAAAGATTGGAGTTAATGGATCTAAATGAGATATGAAGCAGCGCAAGCTTTGGTCTATACGGTGTTGTCATCTTCAGGAGCCATTTCATTGGCAACATATGTAGGTGCATAAAGGTCACAAGTCTGCTAGCAGAGCTGCACAGTAGATTCCAGTATATATTCTCCTCTCCTACTGGTATGTTCACTGGCTGACATCCATGAATAATCTACCCATGTACATTTAGAGAAGAAGAGCAGATATAAGATCTACCATGCAACTTTGAAAGCAGAAGAAAGGAAGTCTATTCTAGAGAAAATATACATGACCAAAAAGCTTTTGGAAACTCTTTTCCTTCAGATTCTTCCTGATGCTGGCTAAGGAGGAGAAGGAGTAATTGGATCAGTGCTATAATGTGAAACTATGCAGGACAAGACAATTAAATTTCCTTTCTGTAATTGCAGCCTCTCTGGATGTCCTATTGCTGCAGCAGAGAAACTGGCTAAAGCTCAAGAGAAGCATCAGAACTGTGATGTGTCAAAATCAAACCAGGCATCAGATCGGGTTTTAAGGTATTAGAAATCACTATAATACTTATTATTCTGCAGAATTCATCACACATTCACCTAATCTGAGAATTTATATTTATATACATTGTATATACATATATATCTCCTTTAAAGATGAGTTAGAATTAGGGCTTCTGGATCCAATTCTCACAGTGTATATTTCCCACTCAATTTTCATGGGGGAGGGTTGGTAATTATTTTGGCAAATACATGTAAAGCTGAAAAGCTCATTTTTGTCTTAGGCATTGTTTGGTGTAAAGATGACTGCTGGAGTGCACAGTCTAAGAACAGTGTGAAAAAAGTTGGTATCTTTTGGGAATAAACTAATATTTACCGGTAAGTCTTGGTTTTTTCAGCAGGCTTTTACTAGTAAATATCAGTTTAAATTAAACCAGAAGCCCTATGTCCATTACCAAACTGGTAGTACACCTTTTGGCAGGAGTCTTGGAAAAATACCAGTTATAGCTTGGATTCCTTAGTTCTTTGTCTCTTTTCCCCCACTCTCTACTCGGAGGAATAGAAAGAGAGAAAAATTGCCCTGAATTTTCTTATGGGAAGGACCTTAAACCAATTTGATATGATTATGCTCCTTTTCTTCATCTGTATAGGATTCTGCATTTATCCAAAGCTGTATCCAGTTTTGTGCTATTGTCTCCTCTTTTGAGATACGTGGGTGGAAAAAAATATTATTTCTAAGGAGCTGAAGTGTGAAGGATACATGTAAAGGAACTAGACTTCCGCATGATTCTACCAGCCTTATGCTGGTGATGCCCCAAGAGTTGCAGAATTTCTCCATGGATACTGCAGTATCTGTGGGCTGGGATAGGTACATCCCTCCCAGCTGCCTCAAAGAGCGTGGAGGAAGTGCTGCAGCTTTAGTTCCTAGAATTTCCTACTTATCTCATAGGCTTCTTAGTATTTAGCTGTCTTCTACATTTTTAAAACAATAGGGCTGCTTAAAAAGAAAGTTTTCTGCTGTATGATCAACATCATTCTTTGAATAGTGTCTAAAAACTTCATCTAATCTTGATGGCCTTTTAAAAAACAGTGGTTTCATAGAGTTGAAAACATAGAATTATGGTTCACATCTACAGAATATTTTTCATCATGCCTGTTGACTTTGCTTTCCTTCCTCAGATTGTTTTTGATGGGCTTTATCTTAACAGTTTGTACAACTTTGCATACAACATCCCAGACAGTTTTCTTAGAGAAAGGTTCTTCAAATCCCGTTAACAAAAAAACACTCTTTGAGGGAGTAACACAGTTTCTCACTTGATGGAAAAAGACAGATCAAAAATGCAGTGGCTTTAACCACTGCTCATTAAAGGGAAGCGGCTGAAGTCAGTTGCCATAGAAAGAAGGCAACTGCTCAAAAGCAGCATCCGGTTTGCTGGCAAACTCCCTAGGAAGTTGTTCTGCAGTCTTAACTTTGCTTGTGAGCTGCCTTGTGTTTCAGGTTTTATAGGCAACTCAAATAATGCTTTCATCTTGTCTCCTGCTTCTCTTTTACCTTTAAGTCACTGAAGTATTTAAGAGGAAGAACTTGTCAGCTATTTATAATATTTGCATACAGGCAACTGATGGGCAGACAGAGATGTTCTAAGAGTAAATCTTGAATATTTGTCTTCATCCCAGTTTCCATCCCACCTGCATCTGAAAGTTCTTACTTAAAAAGAAATCAAATTCATAGGACCTCTCTTCCACAGAAATTTTGGATTTGCATTGAATGTACAGGATCTGAATTGCAGGTTTTTAGCTAAATATAGATTATCTTGAGACAGGATCAAGCTATTATTCATACCAGCTCATTGTATAAATAAGCCCACTGTATTTTGTGAGGAAGAAGTGTCTAAAGGAACGAGCATACATAAATCAAAGGGAATAGTGTGACTAATATGATTTCTTGGGTGATCTTTGCATAAATATCCTGACTAAATTCTGTGAAAATGAATTCATTCAGAAAAACATGATATAATATTCAAAACCTATTTCTCACGATTTATCACATTTCATTTTGTCAGTCAGCATGATGATACTCCTGGTCTCAACTGAATTTATGTTCCTATGACTATTCTTTCCGTTTCCTCTGGTTATAAATGTGGTAAAGGGAAAAAAAAAAAAAAGACTTGATTATATGATTCTTTATTCCAGCAGAAACACATCAGGTGTGCTGTTCATCATCCTCACCTCCTGCTAAACGCAGTAGGTGGATATGCAGCACTGTGTAGCAGTTACTTCCTGTGACCCAGTCATATTGCACTTCCTTATGTAGGTAGGGTTTGCAGGATCTGACTTTCGTTTACCTGCTTTGAGAACTGATGACTTCTGTGTCCACATGCAGAAGACAGCATGACAATGGAGTTCACTATATCATTCTTTCACTGAGATTTCAGAAGTTTTTGAAATAGCTGAATGACATCAGTTGGGGCTTTTCCTAACTGTCCTCCCCGATCCTAAACAAAAGGAGATATTTAGCTGAACTAGTTTTGTTCTGTATTTATTCTCAGGACCTTTCTTGAGATGTGTGTCTGTGTACCAGGAATCACAGCTCCTGCCAGAACCTTGCATTTGAGGGTGAGCAGGACCTGCGAGGCAGCAGCTCAAAGTCAAGACTTTGTATTTCTCAAGATGAACATGCATTTGTATACTGAGGCATAAAACAGGACTAGCTCCTTTGCAAAGCACACAGGAGAACAGCATACAACTCTGTTGAAAGAAATTCAGAGGAAACTCCATTCATTAAATGGAACTTCCAGCTCTATTTTTTCTTTTCGGCATTTAAAGGAATTTGTCCAAACTTCTTCTGTCAGTCTGCTTGCCCCTCTTCACCTCCCAAAAGAGAAAATGTTTGCTATGTGATGAAATTACATGGGGAAAGGGAAACCCTGAAGTATTTTAAAACAGAATTTTAAAATACTTTTAGCTGCAGGATACATTTAGTGGTATTAGAATTAATTTTGTCTAGGTTTTGTTCAAGAAAATATATATTGTTTGTCTGCTGAAAATAACCAAACTAAGGAAATGCAATAATATATTGCTGTCTCTTGAGTACAAGGAATAACTAAGATTTTCTAATCTGAACTATAAATTATGCACAAACATAGTAAACTGAACTGCATCTAACAAACTTTACATATCTTTAATTTCTAGGCCCATGTGCTTTGTTAAGCAATTGGAGATCCCTCAGTATGGCTACAGAAACAATGTCCCCACCACCACACCCCGCTCCAACTTGGCCAAGGAACTAGAGAAATACTCTAAGACTACGTTTGAATATAACAGTTATGACAACCATGCCTATGGCAAGAGAGCCATAGCTCCCAAGGTGCAATCCAGGGATATATCCCCCAAAGGATATGATGGTAGGAGGTGCACACTCTTATACATGAGAGACAAGTTTGCAGTTAATCATGTTGTTGTATATGTAAACATCATACAAATAAGACATGTTTTCATGTTCATACAGTATTATGAGGAATGCTGTAATGTGTAAGTTATTTTAAAGGCCTTTTAAAAAAAGCGTTGTTTTATACGGTGCTTGCTTCAGGATTGTTGCCCTGGCAAAAGAACATCTCCAGCAATTAAGCTCCTGGGGTGTGTTGAGATGGCAGTAAAACCTAAGTAATAGAGGTAGCTCTTGTGTTGCTGTCTGGGAGACTTGGCCTCAAGGGTCACGTTAGGATTCTTGCCTCTGTACAGTAGTTCAGGTAACCCATAAAGATAACATACTTGCTCTGTGGGGATATGGAAGTAGAAAACCTGGGTCTCATTGTACTTCAGAAATCACTGCTTACTTACTTAATGAGGCATTTCTGCTTACTTTGTGCTCATAAATACACTGGTTGAATTCTCTGGAAAACCTAACAGAAGTAACATGTTTAGGAGTAGGCTGAAATTGGCTTCAGTTCAGGAGAAGACAGTGGATGGGGTCAGTCAGACAAGAGGATTTTTGTTAGGGAAGAAAATTAACTACAGGATAAAGATTGAGGATTTGGATTGTAGCTTTTGAGGACATCAGGAATTTTTCAGAGCAATACATTTATATAGGCATATATCTTGTATATGTATATATATAAAACTAAACTGTGCCTTGATCTTTTTTTTTTTGAATGCTAACAGTTTATGTAGAAATTTCAGGCAGGTGTCAGATTTTTGTTTAGAAAAACTGAAACATACTATATAGAACAATTTATGCAGTTGTCTGAACACAGACTTTGAGGTTCGAAAATAGGGTTGTGGAGAAAGGGAAAATTGCTACACCTCTTGCCTTCACATGTGTAGTATTTTGCATATTTTTCTTTCTCTTAGAATCAACAGGCGTGTTGTTGAACTATAGCAGAAGGAGAAGGGTTGTGAAAGGCAACCTGTTTTTTTAGTAGAAGTTCCCATTTTTTTTCTCTTACATGTTCATCTTGTTTGCCTATATCAGAATAAGGGCTTGAACAGAATTAAAGGTAAAACACAAACTCTAACTGTGGTTAGGAAGGCAATGAGTGTACGTTAATATAAGGTAAATGAGATATTAAATATTGTGTATATATCCTGTCTACTCCTGCAGAAAAGAAAGAAGCAAAGTATTGCTGGGGATCCTGTGTAAAAGCTTATTCAGATCAAATTCCCGATGCTTAAGCAACCGATACTTATTTTTCTCATTTAAGGCCAAACTCCATTTTTTCCCCCAAATTACCAGTATTTGAAAATACATGTTAGATTAAGCACAAGTTTAACAGTGGCCTTAAATAATAAAAACTTAGGGTGATATGGGTTATTTTCTTCATGCACACTCATCTTTCTTTGATATAAATAGGAATTCTACTTGAATATAAAACTGAATCTAGTTTGCTTCACTGCTCTCTGATGTGAGCCAGAGAGGACTGAGGGACACTGTATACAGGTGATTCATGCTGGTATAGCAAGTATATGGGGCTCTTGTGTTCTCAGAACAACTGAAACCCATTAAAGCTGGAGTAGGTTGTTTGCCAAACAAAGGCTAATTCCCTATGGATTTGTTCCACACCCCTGGCTCTGCAGGCACACTCTGTACCTGGTTCCAAGTGATGTGTGTGCTGTTTGGCCAGACAGACATGCCAACGTGGTCCCAGAGGTGAAGGCCTAATCTGAGTTTTTCTTTGTACCTTATTAGTGATTTTCCTAAAACTCCTAGGATTCACATCTCTCTGAAATTTCTTAAGCACTCCATCATATTTGGCTTGAATTGGCGCAGGAAAATCAGTTGAATTCTTAAAATGGTGAAGTGAAATCCTGGGGACACTGAAATTGATTGAGGTTTTGGCACTGACTTTCAATGGGACAAGCATTTTGCTGACAGTTACTGGAAATAACTGAATATGAAGGAGATATCAGGAAGAAATTCTTCATTTAAAAGAGCCACTTTTCCTCAAAAAACTTTGCAGTATTTTTAGGTGATTTCATATTTGTTTGTAAAAAATTAATTATTGCTACTAAAGCCATTAGGGAGGTTCAGAGTGCACACCTGTTATGTATGTCAGCAAAACGTGCTTATATAAAAGCAGATTTAGTTCTGAAAAGTATTCCTGAAAAACCTGAAAGTAAGCCTCAGGTTTTTGGGGGAACGTGCAGGTAAACAGTACTGTAGTTCTGACTATATGAGACATACAGTTGAAGGATATGAAAAATCAGTAGCTTCACATCTCAATCCTTTTTTAATTGTCAGCTAGTACTGTATTTTCATCATCAGAGAAAGGGGTTATATATTCAATAAGTGTACGGTTGTGAGTGGCATGAACATAAATAGCTCCTTTGGATTATTTGCTTGATTTTTTTTCCAGTAAGCTTTATTAAAAACAAAACTGAAAATGGATATTTGTATTGTTGGGTAGGACAATACAATGATTCTTGAGAAATCTTGTATTTGTGGGCTTGTTTTTCCTTTGAAACCAGTTTCAGAGTATATTGGATGTTGGGCTTATGGTATACAGCAGTAAAGCTAAGAGCAGCTGGACCCAGCAGGCAGGGGTGACAGCAACACTTTTAGTTGCTCAAGTGATGGCAGGAGCTCTTCCCATTCCACCAATAGGCCTGGGGCCTCCTATCAAAACACTGAGAAGACCTTAGGAGTGGGATTCTTCTGACCATATCTAAACTTTTATAATATCAGGACCTACATTGGAGCTCAGCACCCCTTTCAGATTCAAGGAGAAAGATGGACACTTCTCCAATTCATCTCCTCCTGAAGTACTCATTTAAAACTGGTTAGGTGAATCATTGCCTGAAAGTTCCTATTTTTTACCTCTGCCTGTATAGGAAGTATATAATGACTAGTTTGGGTATCTGAAGGTAGGTGAGATGTAAGTCAGAAAAAGTGTTGAAACTGTAATTAATTTATATAACACATTCAGTATTTAGACAATACTGGGGTGCTTGGACAGGATTGAATTCCACTCCAGATACCTTCCTTTGGTCTGTTAGGTGTTTGTGAACTTTCCCACTCCTCCTTTGTTAAGTAGTAAGAGAAGCCTGTAGACTTTGAGATGTTCTTTGTAATCAGCCCCAAGGCATGTCTGATGGAAGGTCAGTTAAGGTATGCTGCTGGTTATACCTGTGTCTGTTATTTGATGGGAAAGGTGTTCACATTTGGTTTCACTCCAGATCACAGAAAGCATAGGTGGACTGCAGAGCTTCCAAAACCTGGTGCCACAGGGGTGGGTGGTGTATCAACCAGAATTATCTGGTATTGAAACAATGCAGCTTTCCCTTCATTAGAGAACAGCTTGATTTAGTTCACTATAAATTGATGATCTTTGCTTCTCCTGAAAATCTGATGTGAAATGGACAGTCTGGGTTATGTGACTCATCTTCAAATGTACGGCTACAGTAAAGTTAAAATAACCATGGCCATTTCTAAGTAAGTTTTTCTTAAATTATTGGTAACCTGAAATCTAATAATTGTGTAGCATGCTTATAGCACTTTACATCTTCAAAGTGTTTTGCAAGTGAATCACAACACAACTAAGTTATAGAAACAACTTTCATTTTATAGAGGAAATGAATTTGAAGGATAATATAGTTTGACCAAGGCCACAGAGGAGTCCATATCAGAGCCTGCATGAGTTTCTGATGGTTAATCTTATGTATAAAGCTGCTTCTTTCCCTCCCTTTCAGTAGCACACATTCTCATACATATATTTAATTTCCCATGTAGTATGTTCCTTATGTCTGTCTAAATGTGACCTGCTATAACAAGACTAACATTTTTTTGCAAGTGACAAAAGTCTTACTTGTTCATATGAATTTTGAAAGGTACTTCTAATTTGACAAGTTCAGTGGTACAGGATGCTTGCTGTGTTAACACAGTAAAACTGAATTATTCAATTATTTCCTTCCTTAAGTATAGGAAAATTCTTGCGTGTCTTGGAAACTGTAATAGAGTAACAATAGATAAATGCTAAATTTTTAATGACCACCACTGATTACTATATTAATAATGAAACCCTTGAGAAACAGTTCACAAATTTATTATTAGTGGATATCCTTCTAGAGTAGTGCTACTATGTGTTCAAAACAAAGAAATGTGATGAATGTTTAGCATTCACTTCACTTAAAAAAAAATCACACCCTGTGCATTATGTGGCTTTCCTGAGAAAACTCCATCTGTTATGATTTAAGTGAAACACTATTTCCTTTACAGTAAAAATAATGCTATGATTTTTTTCAGTTTTTTAGAGAAAGGAGGATGACATAAGCTCTAGCAGAGATATTTTTCTTTCAGATTCTTCTTTTTAACCCTGCCTGCCTACCAAAGCAGCCTGTGGTTCACAAATGGGCTGTGCTCATGGGAGCAGATTATTATATGTATGTCTGCTCAGACAAATACAACTGAAGAGTCTGGCATTTAAATGGAGCCCATCACAGGAGAGCTCTAGCTATGGCCTGACCCTTTTTGTATAGCTCTCTAATCAGCATGCTAGTTCGTTATTGTTGCACTGTGCTGTAAGGTATGATCTCTGCAGTATACATTTTCATCTTAAGGGGAAGTAGTCGCTGTAATATGCATGTATGTATCCTCTGACCTTGATTTTTTATTTTTTTATGAAAATACATAAACATTTAGATTTCAGAGATGAGCTCACACTTTCTTGCATTTTTTTATAAACGCTTTTAAAACAGTTCATTTGGGAAGAGGGATGGAGAAATAAGTGGGCTAATAGAACTGGTTTCCATTATTGCTATAATACCTTTGGCTGCAGAGAGTGTTACTTAGAAGCAGCAGCAGTGCTGCCTTGTATTTAGATAGGCTGGATGTGAGCATGGTCAGTGCCTTGGCTCTTCTGTGACTGGCTGGGCACTGCTGTCCTCGGTGTGAGCAGGAAGGGCTCTCTTTGGTCCCTGTTTTTAATGAAGAGTTGCAGGTGCTGGGGTTGTTTGAATGGGAGGATGTTTCACTTGTACCTGTTGCCATTTAAACAGCCACAGCTTCTGCCTTTGTGCAAGTCATGGTAAACTCACACATGACCACCACCTTTCTTCTTCCATCATGTTCCTTTGTGATGACCAGTTCCATTAAGATTTGCCTGTGGTGTAGGAGGTAAAAAGCTTTTGGGAGGCATGGGGTGTTTGAGGACATATGAGTGGCACTGTGGCCCAGAGACCAAGCTGGTCAGCCTTATCGTGGGCTTGATCTCCAGCAGCTCTGGAGAGTCTGAGCCTTAAACTAACAGTTTGCTCATGGTAATAGGAAAAGGTCCTATAGTGCTACATTGCCCCTCATTAATAAAAATCAATGAGCCAAGCAGATCGTACCTTCTGTCTGACTATATATGTGGGTTAAAGCAGTGTTTCTGTGTTTATATTGTTTTCTAAATCCAGCCTGTTTGTCAGAATGATTCATGATCATGTCATGCAGATTTTTACAGGAGGTTATTTCATACAAACTCACACATGTAGCATATAAAAGTCACAGAAATCAAGAAACACAGCCATCATTCTTATTGCAGGCTTTTTTTTTTGGCATTGGTTACTGTTCCTCATTATAAATTTCACCTCCAGCAGTTTGTTTTTCTCTTCACTTATGCAGAATGCTCCTTCTTTTGAGTCATCCTTGTCATATTTCTTCCCACAGCTAAACGCTACTGTAAGAATTCCAGTCCAACCAGCAGCACAACAAGCAGTTATGCCCCTAGCAGCAGCAGCAATATGAGTTGTGGTGGAGGCAGCAGTGCCAGCAGTACCTGCAGCAAGAGCAGCTTTGACTATACTCATGACATGGAGGCAGCGCACATGGCTGCTACTGCTATTCTGAATCTCTCCACTCGCTGCAGGGAGATGCCTCAGAACCTCTCCACTAAGCCTCAGGATCTCTGTGCAAGGGTAAAAATGAGTAATTCTGTTTGTTGATGAAGATTTCTCTTAACTGTACTTGCTCTGTGGCCCTGATAGAGAGAATAGCTTCAGTACATTTTGCTTTTTTTCCCCCTCCTCAAAATTATTGCAATCTGGTGGCTCTGTGAAAGCAGGTATGACAAGGGAAAAAAAAAGATACAAATTGCTCACAAGTATCCCAGGGAATCCTGATGGTTTTGTAAAGTGATGATACGGATAGCATGTACTCCTTCTTTTTTTAAATTTGTCTCTCACTAGTGAGCTCTATAATGATAAAAGATGTTTGGATTTCTCAAGTGGTATTAATTGCACTACTGATTTTTTTTTTGCTAAACGCAGTTTGATTCATACATTTTGTGAAAAGACCAAGATTTAACTCTGTATTTCCATTTAAAGGTCATAAATGAGACCTAAGTTTGTAAGATTTAGTACAAAAGAAATCTCTGCTACTGTGTGTTAGAATTTCTTGCCTGTCTGTGATATCACAATTCTTAAGTCACTGCATAATACATTTGAAATGAACAAGTCCTCCGGTACAGATGACTTTAAATGTGCTTAGCAGTATTGCAGGGTGTTCTGTATGTAGAGCCTCAGTATATTATAAAACAGCTATACAAATAAAAGCTTTTGTCATTAAGCTTTCTGTATTAAGAAAAAATTGTGCACTATTAACATTCATTAAATATTTACCACTAGATTTTTTTTTCATTATAAACTTTTAAATTTTGGCTCTGATAGCTGTTCAGAAATGAGTATTTAACATGCACCAGTGAACAGTACAGTGCTACCTATAGAAGACCACTAGATGGCTAAACAGACAGATGCAGTGCAGAGGAAACATTTTTATTGTGCTTATAGAGAGCTTTTGAGCTGGCAGACATGTTCTGTTCTTCTACATATAGACAAAGGTTTGCTTCCCCTTACCATGCAAAGCCCCTCAATCAGTCATAACAAACTAAACCCACAGCAGTAGGTGTTAGTAATAATTGTGATTTAAGCCAGAATGGCTGGTGACTGTTTTCAAATGCTGCTTTTTATATTAATATATTTAATACTGTTCAAGAGGGATATCTCTTTCTGGCATGTAAATAAATGCAGTTGTTCTCTATGTCAACACGATGGGAGAAGCTGGAATAAAAATCTACTGTGTCTAAACCAGAAGGGGCCTCTTACTTAATATGTCACTCTATATTGAAACTGAAGGAATGAATCTGAGAAGATAAACAAGTATTTTCTAAATTAAATTAGCAGGATAGCAGCAATTAGATATAAGCTCTGACAAAAGGCAGTAATTCAGAGAGATTTGCATTCACAGTGCAGCTCTGTTGTTGCTCAAGAGGAGAGAAAGTCACCAGACATATGAGGAGTCGGTCACATTCACATCAGTTTTTAAACCAGATTTCTCATGGAACATTTCATTTTTGGAAAGATGAAGGATTCCCTGTGGGTATTTTTATTTTATCTGTCCTTAGGTTTTTTAGTTTTGTGTTCATTTTAAGATATCTTATTTCCCTCATCTAATATAAAAGAAAATCCTTGTTTGTTTCTGCAAAAGAAATTCAGAGCCCATACTCACCCCATTTTTCACAGTACCTTAGTTGTCACAGGGATCAGTGCCCATTGTTATAAAGATAGATATATGAAATGTTAATATATGTACATGTGCAGGGAGGGAGCTGTGAAATTTGAATGCATTTCCTCATTGGCAAATGGTGTCCAAAATGACTTCTTTTGGTATCCTAACTCCCTGTTTAATTTTCTGACATTATCTATTCAAGCATTGGCTACTAATGTTAAAGAAAGAAAGAAACAAAGATTATTTGGTGCTAACTGTTTTTTGTTACTCTTATCACGCAGACAGGTGTCAGGACTGGAAACAAGAATTATGCAGATGTTACTTCATAGGTACTTACCTGTCACAGAATAAATCAAGAACATAAAGACAATGGCAAGAAAATACCTTTAGAGGGTTCTCCTTTATATTCCAGATTTTGCACCTATGTGCTGGTTGGCAGGAGGGGTACTGAAGACGCTCCCCTCTTCCCCCAAATATCAGATTAGCCATTCAGGAAGAAATCTACTTTAACAGCATTAATGTTGTGTAACAGCATCATGCTATGTGTAGGAGGGGGCTCAATGCTTACAATCTATACAGAAATGGAAAAGCATTTTATCATTCTGCTAGGCAATCAGATTGAAGAAGAGGTAGCAGTTTTGCTAGTGTGAAGCCGAATTAACAATATTTTTCTTATTTTGACAGAATCCTGATATGGAAGTCGATGAAAATGGAACATTGGATCTGAGCATGAACAAGCAGAGGCAGCGAGATGGTTGCTGTACCATTTTGACACCACTGGAGCCAATGTCCCCACAACGGCAAGCCGTGATGAATAACCGGTGTTACCAACTGAACGAGGGGGACTGCTGGGACTTGCCAGTGGACTACACTAAAATGAAGCCAAGTAGGATAGATGAAGATGATTCCAAAGAGATTAATGTATGTTTTTTTCATCTATTAGTTCTTGTTGCAGTCTAATTTTGGTAACTCATTAATTTTCTGGAATTTGGAGGGAAATAGGAAACAAAATTAATACGTGATAAAACTGGTGGTTTTCTACGAAAGGGACTTTCTGCTGGTTTATCTGTATCATGCTGGCACACATCTGATCTGTGACTAAGTTCCATAAGACAACATTTGAACCATGAATGTGAATCATGTTTTCTAACAGCAACATCTTGTTAACAAATATTTTCCAAAGTAAAGATGTTTTGCTGTATCCAGATTATGTTACTCTGTATAAGCAAGTCGACATAACTATGCAATACTGGGATAATCAGCTCTGAAGACAAGATATGCTCCTGAATTTGAAAACCATAAATGATGTGCTGAGTATTTGAAAGCATGTATTACTTAGAAATCAATTTAAACAAAAGCACAGAGTATAATGTAAGCTTTCAACTATTTCAGCTAATCTTCTAGATTAGTTAAATGCTCTTGATAGCTCTATGTGGGTAAGGGCCTGTATTAATGAAATACTTTCTTTCAAGAATTAAAGAAGGGATATTAGAAATCAGTGTTACTTTTGTATTCATAATACCAAGAGAACATCAAAACTCTTTAAACAGATGAAGCAAATAAAGAAAATATGTTAGTGAATTTATGTACCTTTTCAAAAGATTAGACAGGACACTAAGGAGGTCTGACAAGGTTCAATGCCACTGCTTTTCTTCCTCAGGTTTTAACTCTTATCTACTGTGCAGCTTAAAGTCCTGCACTCAATTCAGTTTATCTGTTTGAAGACTTCTAGGTTTATAACAATATTAGGCTAATAATTTTTGTGTAGCACATCTTTTGCCAATTTTAATTAAAATGTAAAACTATTTTCAGTAACTCTGAAATTTATAACAAAGTGACATTTTCACTAGATACACTGAATGCGTTCTAGGTTTGGTGATGCTCAGTTTTGCTATAAATTTCACTGAAGGTGACAGGAAATCTGCCGCTGTTGAGGAAATGTGAGATAAACCAGTGTTTTTTTTCAGAGCAAGCAGAACTCCCTACTTCTACTGTGGTGTTTATAGCACCATCTGCAGGAATCGCTGAATCCCTGCATTCAGCCACTGCATTCCTGGAATAGATGGGTTTGAATTTCTGAATACATCAGTAAAGTTAATTGCAAATTATATCATTCTGTTTTGCCAGACAGATCCATTGAGGTTTGTGCCAGATTGAGATGCTGTGTGTAAATGTTAAGATTTCTCCTCTTTAATCTTTGAGATGTTCTAAATCCTAAAACAATGTTATTTAAGATGGCTTTTTGATGCATAAGATGCTGCATATAGTCATCTTTTTTTGCCTTTCCTCTGTTTTGCAGTGACTTTAGGGGAAAAAACCTGATTGTTTTAGAGCAAAATAATTTTACAGCTGTAAAGCTGGGGTTTGTCCTTTTTTTTTTTTTCTTTAAATAAACTATTTATTTCACATATTGTAAAGTCTTCATCAAAATATTCAACTATAATTCAAGAGTTTAATAGCTGAAAGAATATAAGGTAAATTCATTAATTTTCTCTGGCAGAATAGAGTAAGAAGGAGATACCATCTGATGACTCCACTTTGCATTATTTTATGTAAGTTGTAACCTCATCTAGCTGAAATTAATGTGCATATATTTGCCTGTAGCCAGAAGATTTGGATCCTTTCCAAGAGGCACTGGAAGAAAGAAGGTATCCTGGTGAAGTTACAATCCCAAGTCCTAAACCCAAATACCCTCAATGCAAAGAGAGCAAAAAGGATTTAATAACGTAAGCATAATGTGAGGTGAAATTATTTTTCTCCTTTTAACCTTTTCTCTCTTTGTCTTTTTTTAAACCAACGAATACATATACGCCTTGCAGTATGAGCATGCAACATTTGCAGCATATAAATGTTTCAAACTGCCAGTTAAGTAAAGTGATAAGCTAACGTGTATTTGCTTGTTCTTAATGATGCTATATTGTATTGAGACGCCATTTTCATTTAAACCTGTTCATTTTGCAGCTTTTCGATTAGGATGCTTAAAACCCCTTGCAGTCATTGCAGCTAAACTGGAAACAATGAAACTTTTAAAAGTTTTTTTTTAAACATACTTACTATTTTGGCTGTTTTTGTTTTTGTTTGGTGGCAGATGTCCAACACCAGGGTGTGATGGGAGTGGTCATGTGACTGGTAATTACGCCTCACATAGAAGGTGTGACTTCATTTTTTTCATGGTGGATTCTGTCTTTTCAATTTATTGTTTTCAGCTTACCTCAACAATGCTGTCAAAGTAAAACGTTGAACTATGTGTTAACCCTTTGAGTAATATATGTTGATCTTAAAAGCATGCTAATTTGTGTGTTGTATAAACGTCTTTTATTTTCAAATAGATTACTAAAATTTCCAAAGTATTCTTAAGCATTTAAGTAGTTAACCCAGGAATCTCAAATATTTTTTGTTATATTTTTCTAGTTCATAGAGAAACAAACAAACAAACAAGAACATTTACAGTATGTAATTTTGGAAGTAATGTTGATAACTAAATATATTCAGAGGGTTAACTATATTACAAAATTCAATATTACAGCACTTGCCCCATCGCTTTTCTGCATTACAAACTTTTACTTTTTAATTTTTATGTTGTGTTTGTTTGGGAGTGTTCAGTTAATGAGAAGATTAACATACTTGTATGTCCTGCCATGTCTTACAGTTTGTCTGGGTGTCCCTTGGCTGACAAAAGCATTCGAAGTATGCTGGCCACAAGCTCACAAGAACTCAAGTAAGATATAAAGAACAAATATTTTCTTTATAAATATTTATTTGACTGCAAATTGTGTATAGTTCTATCAGAAATTACAAACGCTGTCTGGAGAGCTGCTGCAGAAGGGGCCGATCCTGCTTGGAACATGCATTGAAATCTCTAGGAATTCCATACAGGCAGCTCTATACATAAGTCTGTTGACATAGTATTTCCTTTTGTGTGTTCATTAGGTGATAGGGATGGACAGAAGTCAGAACTGGAATTTCATCTGAATGCTTGAATTCCTATTTAATTTTTTTCTGAACTTTGAGTTTGCTAGTTAGAACAGAAAAGTCTCATACAATTAGACTGATGAAACACTTCTGATTACACAAGCAATAAAGTGCTGTAGTTTCTTATAGAATGGAGGGAAGAGAAAACAATTTGTTTTTCTCAAATGTTTGCATAATTTTCCCTAGGTTCGTATCACTGTTATCAGCCTAATGCATTTTCTCATTTGACTATGTTTTTTAGTGTTTAGTTAGTTATTCTCCTACTTAAAATGAATTCTTTACAATTCCTTTCAGTTCTTTGGAGTAACAGTTGTGAACAATGAACATTAGGGAATCGTGAGACTTAGCTTTCCTCTGTCTTCCTGCACCATATGCTCTACTGCAACTCTCTGTGTGGAAGAACTATAGCATTTGTTAGCACTATGAGATAGTGATGCTCCTCGGTTGGTACTTGGCTAACATGGAAAGATGTTCACAAGAAATGAGGAAAAAGTTCATAGGGAAAGTATGAATGGATAGCTTATGTTGCTGTGCTAAGCAGTATTCTATCCTTACAATACATGAGTGCCCTAAAGAGCATTTCTTGAGTTCAGTACATACCCTGATTTAAAAAAACAAACTCTGATGTAAACCACAGGAAAAATAAGAAAGCGAGCATGAGAAAACTGCTGAAGTAAGATTCCTCTCTAGTCTTAGCTACTCTAGTCACTAGAGGTAAACAATAGGTGCAAAATTTACAGTTTATTTCCAACACAGCTAAAAATAATGCTTTGAAACTATTAGTTTAGGTCATGCTGGTATATGCTGCCAGAAGACTATGTGATATGTAAAAGGGGATGTACATGAGATCAGGGAAAACATGTAAGTATAAGCAGAAAAAGACATGCATACTCCAGAGAAACTCAGATTTGGGCGTGGATTTTGGGGTTGGGATGGGTCAAGTGGCAGAAGTTCAAGGAAATGTAAATGCATAAGTGAAACACAGCCAAGATTCTTAGGGCAGCATGAATAGTATTTTAAGTTTCTGCTTATCTTAGGAAGGTGTTTCTGAATTGCCCCATCTCCTCTGCCTTTCTCAAATATCTGCAGTCTGGCCTACCTAGCAGAGATCAGGAATAAATAAAAAAAATCAGTGAAGACTCCTCTTCTGTCTCATGCCATTCTCTCTACCTATTTCCAGTTTTGCCTAAGCAAAGAGAACAAGATTAAGTTGAAGTTCTATTTTAGTATTTATTATTTATTAGCCTTTAGCATAAATTATTAACTTAGCAGTTATCATTATGCCTACTGAACACATAAAATCCCATTAAGTTAGAAAACACCAGAATTTTAAGCAGGCTTACTTAACTCTGTTCTCTTTTGCATTTGCATTATATGGCAAGTCTTCATTTTCTGATCATCTATTTTTCCACAGGATAACAAAGTAAATCATTGCACAGAGCAGACAGTAATCATTGCATAAGCAACTAATGAATTTCTTCTTTTCCTCATTATCTCATGTGAGGCCCTGTCTGTGATTCACTACAGTTTTCTCAAACTGCACTCTGAAGATGTGACTACTAATTTGCTCACACATTTGTGACTACCATTGCATCTGAGTGTTTCCAATTAATTTATCTCAGTTATAAAGGAATTAATTTATTTTCACATGCAATTATACTCTGAAGTTGGTCAGGGCTGGTATTATATCCATTTTAAAGCCATAAAAATTAGGCATATAACTTTGATAGCTCAGTTTGATACTTTTAGGACTCAATTTGTCAGTTCTTCACATTGTAGAGAACTGTATAGGTTCAAAGCCAAGTACCCTGGAATTTCCTTGGCATTGTGAGAAGTCAGCAGATCTATATGATGAGTAATTTGTGAAAACAGATGAACTCTGCAGAAAAAGCAGGACCAGAGTCCAGTGCTCCAGTACAGCCAGGCTGTCCTTTCTCCTCCCCTGAGACTCTGATCAGCCCATTCACTCTGTCCTGTTTTTCCTCATTTTTTCCACATTGTTCCCTGTCTCTAGCTCCTTGTCTGATCAGCCCATCTCCTGCCTCCATAACATTTATATTTTTATTGTCTTCTGTCTCTACATCCTGCAGAGTTGGTACAGAGACAGAAATAAAGCATCTTTGCATTTCTCACATATATTTGAAAGCAGGGAAGTAGGAGTCTTATGGATGGCAGGATCCTCTATACAGCTCTCATTTATGCTCTTGTTCTCTGGAAGAAGATGTGATCATGTAAATGTATCGCATATGCACAAAGCAGCTGAACCAAAGCTACATAAGCAAATTCGACTTGGAAATTTCTAAACTGTGAAGTACTTAGTTTACATCTATTTCTATGTGTGAGGTCTGGGAGGATAATTTCCTTGTTTCTAAAAAGAGAAGCTGAAAAGCAGCAGAAATTCCATAATATGGGATATTACTGGCTCTCTGTCAGGTCACCAGCCACCATGGGAACTTTTGATACCTGCTATATAGGTCACCTGGACTGCTGTCACAGCAAACAGCAGTAGAAGGTTTAGTGCTCTGCATGGACTGGCACCAGGAGGAGGTGAGGAACATTGCTGGTGTGTTTCATACATATTTGCTGACAGCAGAAGAGCAGTAAGAATCACTAACCTTGGTTCCTGCCAAGCTTCAGGCTGTAGGGGGAAACGCATACGCATTTTTTGCCTATATCCCAAGCTGAGATCCCTTCTGTCCTGTCCCTACCAATCTGTACTGTTCTCATCTCTTCTTCATCTTTTATTCCTTGTTCAGATTTTCAATGGAGTTGTTTCCAGTCCTCCACAAATATTTAAACCTCTGTAAAATTTCTGGCAAATACTTGTTTAATGAGTGGGATGCAGAGAACAATTGATAGTGCTGTGGAAGAACTGATAATGCAGCATAGGGGTCGTATTTCTGGACTGCATAGTTTCGAAGGAATTAAAACCTTTGTGGTATTGCCATGTACAAAATATCACCTATGTGCTGGTAAAGCCTTTATATCACATTTTGCCAATACATGATCTCCTTTTGTGTACTGTACAACATATACAAGTAAGGTATAATGCAACTTCCTAACTGGAGTTTTGCTGACATTCTGATTCTTTTTGTGCCCCAACTGAAATAGCAGACACTTCAAATAATATTAATTAATAATATCAGGTAATATTCATAATTTTTAATATTATCAATATATTTGATTAATAATCAAAATAAAATAAAAATTCGAAAAAGTTAGAGAAAAGTTTATTTTCCTTAACAGTAATACTTACTGTATTGCCTTTTGTTAGTTGTGTCTCCAGGATTCCATCACTCACTCCATTTTTTCCTGGCTCTCAGCATAATAATATTGCAGCCTTCAATTAAATTGTTCCAGGGTCATCATAATTACCCCTTACCACCCATGCTTCTCATCTGTATGGGTTCTTGCTCAGGCTTACCATGCAGGTTGTATGATTTTCCACTTTCACCCAAAGCTCAAGTGGAAATACCAGTCTTTGTGCATAGTTTATTGGCAGACCAAAGCAGTTACACAGCCTGGTCAGCGATCTCCAAATAACAGAAAAATTTCTTCTGCTTTAATTCTCAGTTACTGATGCTGAGGGGGAAAAAAAAAAAAAAGGGTCAACAGCTCTAAGCCCTTCTGAGGAAATGAATATCTGGCAAAGATCCAAATATTTCCAGTATTAAGATTTTGGTTGTGAAAAGCAACTAATTTTTAAAGGACCTAGGGACACTATATTGATGAGTAAACGTAACTATGATGGGAAAGCAATTAACAGCCCACCCAGTGATAGCCACTAATATTAAAATATTCATAAGTTAAATCCAGTTTAATCTTACCTAGAGGCTTTTTCTTATCAGCTTTCTTTGTTTTTTCCTTACCATAGCAGGTTTTTCTAACAGTTACAATTACTTCAAAACTGTAATCCCATTGTGGAATTATAAATACTATTAAAAAAGCAACATTTTGAAGCACTTTAAATCTCATTCAAAATAAAATTGGGAAGAAAAAACAACCCAAGGCTAAAATTAATTATTGTTTTGAAAAGGCTGCATTTTGATCATCAGTAAGTCAATCCCAGCCAAAATGCAGCATACTGACTGAGGACATTTTCACTTGGTGACCTATCAATGTGAGTACCAGAGAACCCACATATCAGAGGCCCACAGAAAACTACAACCTTAGTACTACTTAGTGCTACTTTGATGTAAAAATAATCACACTTTTTCAAAGAGCATAGGTAACTTAAGTGTTAACTTGGTCTGCCATAGAACTGACTATCACATTGTCAACATTTACCCTTGTTCCTTTGGGTCAGTTGTTTTTTGTTTTAAAAAAAATCTCATTAGTGCTTATATTAAAGAATCTGAACCTCAGAAAGATTTGCAGTTCAACCAGGTACCTACAAGTTTGGATACTTCTCGGGTGCTATTGTAATATTCCTAGTCCTTCAGTCCCAAAGCACCAGTGTGGATTTTGCATGTCATTGTTTTCTCTGGTGGATGTCTTTTGGTATTCCCCTATGGCACTTATAGGGAGGAGTAGTCTCCTTTCCTTCAGAACAATGAAACCTGAGAGCTTTTATTTTCCACATCTCTTCTTAACTCAAAGTGACGAGCTCAGTCTATTTTTGCATATTCTGTAGAATGAAGTAAGAGTTGGAATTTCTGTGCCTCCATCTTTTTTCCATGTCACTCTGCCTTAACTTCCATATTCTTGGTGATCATTTTCAACTCTTTCTCATAACTTCCTTTCATC